TTTCTTTAACTAAGAGTCCCATCATAGTCTAACACTGGAGTGGTCCAAGTAATTGTACAATAGAAATCACTACATTACACTGCCTTTAGGGAAGAAACAGCTCAATTTAACTGTGCAGTACAGATTATCTTTGCAGCAAGGGATATCTTTCCAATAACAGAGAGGAGCAAACCTCTGGAAGACAGAAAATATTAAGCCATAGCAAAATCTGGCCAAAATTCAGAACTAAGTTACCTGTAAGTGACCCATAACAAGACTCCATTAAAAATAAAATATAAAAACAAACCCAAAAAAAATAAAGTAAAACACACAGCAAAAACACCCTCAACTTATTCAGCTTGCTGATTGAGTACCTTTCTGCCAAAACAGACATTATTCCATTAGATTCTTCCTAAAAACCTTAAAAAAATAGTAAATGCTGCACTGGATGTGCCAAGAAAAAAAACCTGCTGGAATATGGTGGGAGGGAGAAAGAAAGCCAGTGCTTTGTATCCTGAAGACAATCTGACCTCCACAATGAGAAGTCATGCAAGACCAATGACCAGTTCCCAAAATGTAGACGTATTTCAACACAACGTTAAAGAAAATGAGAACAGCACATAAGGGAACATTTTGAACTGCAAAAGCAGCAGCTCATTCATCAGAGTTTGGGGATAATTGATGTCACTGCACAAGCCTGAAACAGTGCACATGAATCTGACTAACCGTGCTCAGGAAATACTGGAACAGGACTTGAGCAGAGGGACCATGGCAACAGAGCTTATGACAGAGACTAAAGAAAGCCAGTTTGTGTAGTCTAGTAAACAAAGGTGGTGAAGGGGCCACTGCCTATAAATAAGTCAGGGCAGTAAACACCAGCTAAAGGTGCTAAGTCAGATGGAAGATGCTTCTGGACCGGAACAAATGCATGAGAACTGACTGCGAGTGAATAAATTCAGATCAGAAATCAGAAGGCATCCAACCCTTAGCTCCAGCATGCAGTGAACTGAAGAGTCAAGAGGGAAGCCCACCCACTTAAAGATGGAGATTTGTCAACTGATGACATTCAGTGGGCTTGTGACAGAAGAAGACTGACTCGGTGACCCAGGAGGACTTTTTTTAAACTTGTGTGTTCCTATTAGCTGACTATTTAGTCATCTTTCTTCTAGATGAAGATGTGATCTTTCCCACTTGTCTCCTGGACTGCTAAAGCAATGAAGACCTCTCATTTCATTCTCTAAGAGCCAAGAAAATATTTTTTAGAAATCTTATTTACAGCATGCAACTTCTCACACTCTTCCACTTTCTCAGCAGGGGTCCAAGGAGGACAGTTGGGTCATCACATACCATAAAATATGGTTCATTCTGACCTTGTGATGGGCAGTAGCAGAGGAGGGGCACAGAAGACCTGAAACAGATGCTCCTATGCTCTACCCCCTGAAGCACTACAGTAGCAGAGTGATTAGGCACATTGGGCCATGAATTTCAGCTGCAAACAGCATCAGTTTAGACAGGAGGGATGGGTAACATCAAGTGATTACTTTGAGTTGCTGGGGATTCTGATTTCTGAATGAGAGCCTACACTGCACCTCATAAGCAGGTAGCAGTAATGTTCTCTCCATGCATTTTGGGTGGAAAGACCAGCAAATACAGACAACAAAATACCAGCAAGCACTGCTAAGAAGCTGCAGAGAGCCAGCACTGCTAGCTTGGCACTGCACTAGGCTAATGTGGCCCTGAACAGCTTCTGGTACATTTATCAGTACAATCAAGTTGCCTTTGGTTTCTCCACTTCTTCTCAGTTCTTGTCTACAGTGTTGGTCATGGCAAGACAACTCAACCACATCCTCTCCTTGGCCTTCACTTGGGGCAGCTTGGCACTAATCTCTTGGGAAGGGAAGAGGTGAAACTGAAGACAGAGGAGCTGTTTGCAGGAGCCCCCTGGCCTGCAACATGCCCATCCTCAGGCCAAAAGCACCGTAACTCCCCACAATGTTAAGAAGAAAGTTTGCTGCTTTGTGCTGCACTTTGGGAACGTCACTGACAACAGCACTGCAGTAGCAGCACACACTGAACACAGCCAGGAGTAGTTATCAGTAATGCCCTCATTGTTCAGCACCAGTGTTGCCCTCATTAACCTCTTCCCATTGCTATTCCCATGAACAAACCCATCTGTTACTGCCACAGAAGAGATGCCAAGCAGGAGCAATGGGCTTTTCCTTCTGAAATGTGAAAGAACTCTCTCTCATGGATATAGCATGCTCCTGGAATGTATCTCACCCTAATGTATCATGCCTTAAACCTAATGTGAGCAAAGAAAGTACAAAAACTGTTAGAATAATATTAGAGGCATACACTAAATTCCCATTCATGATATCACACCAGACTACTAAATGGGAGGAGCATGGTAACTGATTCATTGAAATGTTTCCAACAGATGGTTCAAAGATACATTTTTGGGAGAACCAACATAGCTGCCCCAAAAGATGGAGGTTAACCAACACTGGTTTTTCATATGGACCTTAAATAAGAATTTAGTCAAAATATTGTGTCACTCAAAGACTGACAGTGAGAGGAAGTAAAGCTTACTTCAAGAGGCATTTTATAGTAATTCACACACTAATTTTTCAGTAACCACACTAAATGTTACATTTTTCTATTATGTGCTCATACTTTAAACCATTTCTTCTCTTAAAAATTCACACTGAGGCTGTGTACCTATTAAGTATTAAAAACACTGTGTAAATATTGAGACAAACAAGTCTTGGAAGCATATTTTGTGTATACCATTTTCTGTGTAGCTGAGAAGTTACTTTCTCAATATCCCAAGTAATAACCTTATATTAAAGCCCATCTTTCATCTAGCATACCTCAAATCAGGAACACAGGAGCCATCTTTCAGCCTTGCCAGAACACGTATGTATTTATAATTTTACTTCTTCTACCTGGTTGTTTAATAGTTTGGCAAAAACCATAACCCATTTTTTAGAAATACTTAGAAACTCATCTCTGTTGATACAGCAAATCTTTGTTAGTTTTGTCCTAACTGTTCATTATAACAGCAACAGAACACTTAGAACTTGCACAGCATACTCCATCTCATGATCTTCTAAATAAGAAGTGGTTCTCCAAGCTTAGACGAGCTCAGTGAATGCCCCTTGAAGTGTCAGAGTTATAACAGGTTATTCTGTTTCTTCAACAGAAGTGACCCCCACGTGGCAAGCAGAGGCTGGGAAGATGAGGCAGGGAAGGAAGGCAGTGCTCTGCATTGCATCCAGGAGGACATCTACTGGCTGCCGTGGTTGGCCAGGGTTACACCAAAACAGACCTGGTGTGTTCTGCACACCAAAGCTATCAGATCAGAAACCTACACCACTGAGATGTTTCCTGGCATCACAGAATCTTGGCACAGAGCTGGGATTGGAGCTTTTGACTCCTTTCCTTAAAACATGGGTTTATTTCCTCTTTAATTAAGTCAGGATTGATGAGTTAAGCTTTTTATCAAAATTTATATTCTCAGAGAGTTGGTTTGTGGCTGCCACCAAACCTCCAGCCTAGTGGTTCTGCCAAACTCTATCCCCAACAACAGAATGTCAGCCTACATTAACTTTCATCCACATCCCAAAGTTCATCAAACATTGAACATTGCGTTTCGATGATCTCTGACAAGCTTCCTGATTTCTCTGGACTCCCTAGAGTCCAGAAGAGCTCTACAGTAGACCTATTCCTGGGTTTTGGTCTCAAGAGGAATTCAGCAACAAACAGCTGAGCTCATTTTACCTTAACCCTATCATCCCCATAAGTGTGAAAATTTCAGGGCAAAAAGTAAATCAACAGAGAAATAAGCAGCCATTACCCATTCAACAAATTTTGGGTTTTTTCAGGGATTTATGACTGCATTCATATCTCTTTGATCACACTGGATTTCAGACTAAGCCAAGAGAAACAGCATTCGCAGACACTATTGCCTTGCCACCTAGGTGTGGAAAAATCTCTTTGGTGTCTGCTACGCTCTTATCAATCTTTACCTGCTACTGATTCATAGCACAAAAGAAATCCTGTACTCCTCTCTCATCCTGAGAAATGCCAGCTGCTTCTGGGCAGTGCACATTCCCCACAGGACAAAGCTACCTGTGAACCCCTCACAGGAGTGCCAGGGGAAAAACTGGCATCTCACACTCCACAGGTTGCTCTCATTCTTTGAGCGAATCTCTCTTTGGCGTCAAAACACAAATACACAAGAAAGAACCTTTTTCTATCTTCCTCTCTGTTAGTTGCAGTTCAGTGGGAAAGTACATAAAAGCAACAAAAAGTATATAAAGCAATAAAAAATAAGCAAACCTTTACATATGCCAGGTATCAAATATAAAGCTGGTGGTGCAAAACGAAAGCTTTCCTACTGCCAGTTCAGATTGTAGCCACATGAACTATGACAGAACATCAATCACTAACACTTATTCACCTACAAGTGTGCTGCCACTGACCAGGCTCGAGCACCCCACAGTGGATGTGCTCTGGAGACCAGAAACAGCAGTTCACCAGCACCAGTAATGTCATTCATTACTGCGAATGTTATTTCCTCGCAGGTTAAAAGCATAGCTGGGGTCCAGCTAGGTTCAATTTCGCTGTATAGTAAGAAACAACAATTCAGTGAGCATTTTCCTCTTGCAGACACAGAGAAACTTCAGCTGGCAGCTGCTGCTCGCCTTCCCCCACAAGCACACTAGGAATGTAACCCACATGCACGCCGGCTCCAATGGGAGCAGGTAGAGCAAATGCTGTTTTAGAGACGGAGATGACTGCGATTCTTTTAAGGAGCAAGAGCTCCGGAGGCTCGAAGGTACAGCTCAACAGGGAGGCCTGAGGTTCTCTGCGGTGTGACTGAGCAGCCCGTGCGGCAGGGGTTGATCAGGTCACCCAGAGACCAGAATGCCCTTCCCTAGGAGGGGGGCAGAACCAAATCCCCATCCCGCTTCCCCCCTCCCCTTCTCGACAGAAAGGAATGGGAACACTCCTCTTACCTGAACTCGGGCAGGAGGTTTGGCCGCAGCCCATAAAACGCCGCTGAGAGGGTCACTAGCCAGCCGGGTTTGTAATTCCCATTCTCACACTCCAGGTATGGTGAGGACCACCTGATGTGGTTCTTATCAGCAGTGAAGCCCTCCCGCCGCTTCCAACTGTTTTCCAAAGTTTTGGGGCCCGTGTTTAAGACCTTCCTGTGCAGATGTGGCCTCCACTTGCGCTTCAGGCTGTGGAACCACTCTGTTTCCACAGAGGCATTGGCCAGGCGGTGAGCCGTGGAGGACAAGTCCTGCAGGAGGACCTGACTCTCGTGCCTGCTGGCCTGGAGAAAAACCTGGGGAGTGGAGGAGAAAGGCTCCGTGCTGAAAGTGATAGCGGCCCTGGAGATGTTGGGGTCCTCCTCCAGCAGGCTCCTGATCAAGGCGCGGTACCACTCCAGGTCCTCCTGCAAGTTCTGCTCCCGCGACTTATTGCTCTGGAGGATCATGTTGAGCAAGTTGGTGGCGTGGGTGAGGGTGCCCAGGGCACCGTGCAGGGAGGGGTGCGAGGTGAAGCGCGACTTGCCGGCGAGGCTGGCCAGCTCGTAGCGCCCGGAGCAGTTGGCTCTCCGCAACTCCCGGGAGTCGCCCGTGTAGAGGAACGAGGCCACGTCCTGGGGCACCTCCTCGGCGAGCCGCTGCGCCAAGATGGTGCTCTCCGTAGAGCGGCTCCGCGGAGCCGGCAGAGGCTCCCGGCTCTTGATGTGGTTGTAAATAGGCTGCTTCCCTCCGAGCGCCCGCTCCCGGCCGCGCACCGCCTGCCCTTGGTCGCCGGCAGCCCCCAGCCCGTGCTGGGCGAGGAGCAAGAGGAGAAGGAGCCGGAGCAAAGCCATGTCCCCCGGTGCTGCCGGTAGCGCCGGCACGGCGAGGCGGCTGAAGATGAGCTTCGCGCAGGCGGCCGCGGCGCAGGGGTGCGAACGCGCAGAGACGGCCGAGCGGCAGCGGGGCGGAACGCGACCCCCGGCCCGCGAGTCACCTGTGGCGGTGCCGCCCGCACCCTCCCCAGCGCGGGGCTCCGCACAGCCCCCCGGCCGGAGCGGAGCGGCGCGCAGCCCCTCCGGCGACAGCAGAGCCGAGCCCTCCTGCGCCTCCTCCCGCCGCGGCCGCCGCGCTCACTGAGCTCCTGCCCGGCGCAGCGCTCCGCCGCTCCGCATCCTTCGGGCGCCGCTGCCGGAGAGGGGGGCCCGTGGCGCGGGACTGCCACTTGCTGCGGGGATCGGCGGGCGGGGCTGCTGCCGGGGAGCCAGCGGACAGGCGCCCGCCTCCGCCAGCGCTCGGCTCTGCAAGCGAGGACGCCCGGCCGTGGGAGGACGGATGGTCACCGGGCGGCTCCGCCACGGGCAGCCCCACACCGCGCGGCGCTCCTCGCCGCCGGCCCTTATAGGTGTACGGCAGGCAGCGGCCGCCCTATGTGGCCGCCTCGCCTGTCAGTCAGCCGGCAGCCACTCACGGGGCAGGAGGACGGCGCCGTGCGGTGCCGGGGGAGGCGGTGCTGCTGCCGCGGAGAGGCGTCGAGGCACCTGGCTTCACCTGCAGCCGGCTCAGCTTGGGACGGAGGCGGGGCGGGCGCCCGCCCCGCTGGGAGCCGCTGCGCGTTCCCGGGGTCGCTGCGCTCCGGTCGCGGGCGGGGATCCGGGGAGGCCCCGCCGGGCTCGGGGGTCGCGCGTGGCAGCGACACCTGGTGGCCGGGCCTGGGGCGAGCGGCGGGAGCGCGGGAGGGGGGACAGGGTGCCCGAAATCCCCCCTCCGTGTCTTCCCCTCCGCTGCGGGGAGCAGGAGAAGCCCGGCGCTGCGGGGGAAGGCAGTTCCAGCTAGATCCGCAGCGTGGGCTGATGCCTGTCAGGGCTGCGTGCCGCTGAGGGGAAGGCGCTCCCGCTGCCGGCGTTTCTAGGGTGGGCGGAGGGGGCGCGGGCCGATCCTCGGCTGCCCCGGACGCGTGGGGCCGGCCGGGCTACCCCGGCAGGAGGCGTTGGGCGAAAGGAACGATGTTTGTGTGGGAATGGGCGACTGCGCCTTCGGGATCTCGGGGCCCCTCGCCCGGGCTGCCGCACTGGCCTTGGCCGCCTCAGCGGCCCCCGGCACGGAGCGCGGCCCCCGGCACGGAGCGCGGCCCCCGGAGCGGGCGCTGGGCCGCCTTCCCTCCGCCTGCAGCTTCGGTGGCTGGCTGCTTGTATTTCTGTAACCATGGTCTGTTTTTCCCTTAGTCTTCTAACTCCAAGGTGCTAATTCCTACAGCTGTTTTCAAAAGTCCTTAATCCAGTGGCTTTTAACACTGACCTTCAGGGCACCTGTGTGGAGCCGAGGCTGATCACTCAGCTTTCCTCCTGCTCTGTGGAAACCCCCTTGGAATGATACAAATGCTTAGAAGACGTAGTTAGGCTTTTCCAGATAAGCCGTCATGATTAGCAATAAGGATGTAGTTTAGTAAAGCATTTCAACATGTGTTTAATTTCGTACATTTTCTTTGGCAGAATTGTGGACCTGCTCAATATCTTACTAATGGATGAGGGATTTGTGACAGGAGACAGCAAAGGGTGAATTTTGGAGGAGGTGGTCCACGGCACAATCTCCTAACTACATTCCATTCCCATTTAGTATAAAATTCCATTTTGGAATTCAAGAGTCCAGATGAAAAGAGTAGTAAAAGAGGACCATTTTTTTCTTCTTTTCTCCCCCCCCCCCCCCCCCCCACACGTGCATGCACATCCTAGGAGCAGATTTCAGTTATGCAGAATATATGATCTAATTTTAAATCACTGATGAGTTATATTTGCTCCTTAAAGCATAATCTTATTTTAGAATTATTTGAAATGATACTTGACAGAATAGTCACTGTAAGATAGCTAAATGTAAATTACATTTGCAATCTATATATCCTACTGATGCTCTGCACTTTGTCTTTACCTTTAATAATTATAATATTGTTGGTTAAGAGAGAAAGTTATAAATTCTTTTTGTCTCTTGCTGCATGCAGTTGAAGAGGATATTCAACATGCAAGAATAATTTACTTATACTGAACTTTCCCTCAAGTGAATAGTTTGTGAGATTATTTAGAAACTGCTTATACTGAGAAGCTCAGAAGCTGGTATTTGCAGTTTAGCACAGCACAGGGAGTCTGTATTTCCAAATCTGCTCTGAGCAAATACCTAAAGATGCATCATTTGCTGTGGATAAGAGAGAACTAGGGCTTTTGACAGCAGCATCTCTCAGGACTGAGCTAAAGTAATGTGGGATCTGTTACAGGGAGAGATATCACTGGCATCATAAATAAACACATTTTTTTAATGTTGTCCTGGGCTGATTCTCTTTATTGACAGACAAGGGCTGCTGTAAAGGAAAGGTTAGTTCCCTGTTGGAAATTCACTTTCCCTACTTTAGCCTGACTGTTAATACCTGTCTGAATTGCACTGGGCCTGCTCAATGGCCACATTCACACATTCTCAGCATAAGCAACTATCCCCTTAATGTACTTGCGTGGTAAGTTCCTTGTATTTCCTGATCACCTCGTGGTCCTTCCACATACCCTTCTACAGTGGCACCCACCACTGGCCCTGCCCCTTGTCCTTCACTAACATCCCAGAAGCTGCAGTTCTTAACCCAAAGGTTTGCCAGGAACAAAGACCCAAACGGGTTAGTAGTGCACACCTTGAGATGCTGGAAGTCTCCCTTAATCTCAAGCATTAGAAGTCTCTCTTTCTCCTCTCCTATCAGTCTGCTCTGGGTGTTTGGTCTCTCTGCTGGCACTTCTGAGTCAGAGGGAGAGGATGAGGTGTTTTTTGAGAACTTTCTCACTCAAGGTGCCGGGATCATGGCTGGTCTTGTACACCTGTATCACTCAGGGTTCAAAGAGGCCTCCTTTATCCTGCAGGGCTTCCTTCTGCAGTCAGTTCACAGCGATCCCAAACAGCTACTGTGTACAGCCAGGTCCAAAATGAGACACAAACAGATTTTAAGCCATTGCAAATGTGCATCCTCCTAGTGCTTTGTAAACACTGTGCAGTGGGACCCAAAGCCTACCATTCAAGGCCCAGATCCAGGAAATTGGAAATATAGAAATATAGCATCCTCCTAGGTTAAGGAAATCCACCAAATATATTATTTACATGAGTCTACTAAGGACTGGGAGAGGTGTAGAAACTTGTGATCTTTGTATTTTTTATTTTAATATTAAAATGCATTAATATTTCTGGACTGTTATATGTAATTAGCTGAGTGTGTCAGAAATCTGTTCAGCTGTGATCAAGACAATGTGAAAATGGACTGGGAGTCCCCTGAGACACAAGATTACTGTGACTGAATAATGTTTCCTATGCTCCTGCCTCAATTCTGCCAGAGGTGCTACATCGAGCATCCACTGCAAGGAATCAGGAGGCATCTGACCACTGTCCTGAATATTTCTGAGTTGTTACAACTATTGCAATTGCTTCACTCAATGTACTTGTACATGAAGCATCTCAATTCACTGTATTGCCTATCAGGACTGAAGTCAGCTCTACATGAGTCTAATTACAGTGTAGAAAGAACAGTAGTGCAAAATGGTAGCTGTTATTTACAGACTAGAGGAAGTGTAACCTACTTTCTTCAAGTATGGCCTATGCAAAAAGATCTGAACTATTTGAAATGCTAAAACATCACAATTACTGCATTGTTAAACCAGTTGGGAGCAAGGAAAGACTGCTTTAGCTGTGAAATCTATCTAAAGACTCATTTATTAGTGTTTGTCCTAAACTATTTAGGAGTATACAGAGAATACACACAAGAGTAAGTACCAAAACTTTTGACATTGTGTTGTATTTCTCTCACAAAACTGAGACAAAATGTTTATCAAAATTGTTGCTTCTAGTATTTAAAAACACATGAAAAGTAAAGTATTCCTAAAAGTACTCCTACTTTTAGCTTGAGTACTTAAACAAGTAACATTGTAGCAGCATGTCCGTCTGCCAATGACTTCTGATCCCTTTAGTTAATTTTAGGTAAGTTTGACAGAAATCTACAAGCTTCTACAAATGTACAAGCTTCTACAGCTGGATCAAAGAAATCAACCCATGTTCATTTTCATGCTGAGGGAAAAGCTTTAGAGTGAATTCAACAGTTAAATAGTCTCTTTGGTCTTTCCTTTGGCCACTCATATTGGCCAATAAGCATAAATAAACCCCCAAAACAGATGGAATATATGGGACAGCCTCCCTATCCAACAGGGAGGGGTCAGCCAAGGGTGCTGATGGGGTGGAACTCAAAAAGACAAGGGGGAGCTGCAAGTACTGTTAACAGTGGGCACAGAACCATGAGACTTTAAGAAACAAAGCAAAGAGTCCATGGGGGCTGGGAGTAGTGCTGATATTACAGCAGAGGGTGAGGGAAAGAGTGAACACAAATCCACTGGAAACCAGGCTTTGTTCTCTTGTTTTCTCTCACAAATGAATTTAAACCATCAGCTGAATATGTCAGGAGAAAATAGTCAAAATGCAGAGTACTAAAATTCATACTTAGAAGTGGACAAAAGAAGCAGCAAGAACTTACCTGTCATTAGTGTTCCCTGGTAGTGAGAAATTCCAACCCTCTGGATATTTTCTTAGAAACCTTGGGACAGAAGGAATCTGACAAAGGTTATCTAGTAGAGCATTCAGCACTGCAGCAGGACTACGTACAGCACAACTGTCTCTGGCAGGGGCTGGCTTGCATGCTCTCAGAGAATTTCCAGTCAGGTGAACCTCACAGCCACCCTAACTTCCTTCTCCCACATTTCATTAACTTAGCACCAGGTGTGGGGTGAGGGGACTCCTAAAAGTCTTCTTTACTTTCTTTGTTTCTTTGCCTTCTTATCGGAGCACAATCACCATAAACTAGTATCTGTCTGCAAAAGACCACTTTGACTTACTCCTCTTTTTCTTTAGCTGGGCTAAATTAATCAAATTTCTTAACAGGCTATGCTTTGCTTTCCAAAACTGATGTTGGCACTGCTGTTCTCTTCTTGACTATCCATTCTGTTAGCCTGCTTCTCTAGGCATCCTAGACAAGGTCTCCATCATGCACCATCTCCAAAAGATGTAAAATTCTCTGTTAATACACCCCACGTTGAGGTCTGCCTGCTTTTTCACCTTCATCACGGTATTGACCACTACTCAAGTCTGTAATG